TTTTTAATTAATATGTAGTTTTTCATATTATTATGTAATAAATCCTTAAATTTATGTGCTTTTACAATTTTTAATGTACTTGTACTATTATTTTCATAAATTTTAGACTTACATGACCTTTGCATTTTTACACATTAAATGTAATTTTACAGTATGTTTGTACATATACATTTAAATACGTGGCATCAAAATAACCAACGATCAGATGTGTAAATTTACTAAATATTTTTTTGAGTGTAGGCTCCATGGATAAATGACCCATAAAAACAAATAAAGATTCAAAAAGTTTGGCTCAAAACAGCAACACAAATAATACAGGGTGCGGCAAAAAGGTTTCAAAGGGTCATTGTTCGGCTCGTGGGGGGGATAGAGCAGTGCGCGTGGTCGCTTTAGGTAGGTACGTGCATGCCATTTTCAGTCGTCATAATGAATCTGTCAGAAATATTTGGTATGTCAATAAAAATCAAACTAAGAAAAAGCTTTCTATTTTTTTAAAGGTTAACCTTCATTCATTATTTACGTGAGGGTTTTTTAAAATAAAATGTCCGGGAAAAGTTGTCTCTTTACGAGGGTGGCCTCCGCGTTTGCCTGATTTGACCACTTGCGATTATCTAAAATCCCAAGTTTCTAAACAAAATTTGGAAAATCTAAATGCAGCAATAAGGCAAGAAATCAACGCAATTCCGCAAGACATGGCGCGCAGAGCAATGACGAGCTGTCGCAATAGGCTTCAAATGCATTGACAATAACGGCGGTCATTTAAAAGACATTATTTTTAAAACATGAAATGTATGAAATAAAATGTGTTTCCTAAAAATTTTTTTCTTAGTTTGATTATTATTGACCCAAATATTTCATTATGACGACTGAAAATGGCATGCTCGTACCTACCTAAATCAAACACGCGCACTGCTCTATCCCCCCCACGAGCCGAACAATGACCCTTTGAAAAAGGGGCGACTTTTTTGCCTCCAGAGCTGTCAGAAAAAAGTATCTTGGTTACTTTAGAGTAACTTAGTTACTTTAAAGTATCTAAGTTACTGTATCTTAGTTCCTTTATTTTTTTTAACAAAAAGTATCTAGTATCCTAGATACTTTTTAAAAGGAACTGTATCTTGTAACTTAAAAAAAGTATCTTAGATACCGAAAAGTATCTTAGATACCAAAAAGTAACTTAGATACCAAAAAGTATCTAAGATACCACAAGAAAAGTTCCTTTAGTCAAGTTGTTCGAAACGGCCGCGGCCATCGAATTCGAATAACTTAAGTTATTATAATAAGTATACTGGCGACTTCAGCGACTGGCGCAAATCGACTGGCGGCGATTTTTGTTATACCTACTTAATTTTTATTCACCTATACTTCTTTTATAATCTGTGACTTCGCCACCCGCTCTGTAGAAGGGTGTTTCCGTTCGTTGCGACTTGAATTTATAGTGGTAAGTCTGAAATAAGTTAGGTTAGGTAAGTACTTGCACTTGCTTCTTTATGATGTACTGATGTAGGATATTGGTTGTTACATCGTACCGTACATTCTATAATGTTCAATGTATGTTTTCCATTTTAAATTTTAAAAAAATGTTAAAAAAGATTAAATGAAAAGTGTGAGATAATTTTTTTATTTTTATAATTAAGTGGTGTTTAATTAACGATTTTATCTCTTTTAATTTTTAAGATATTTTAAAAGTGCCTAAGTAAGACACTTTTTGCATTAGACCCTTCAATGGTTTTAATCAACTAGATTTTATTGAAAAAATTTTTTAAAAAAGTAAGCTTCAAATTATTTGAAAAATCAGGGTGAGGTTGGAACGAATTTTTGTTGGGCGGTTTATACGAAACTTATTACATAATATACAAAGTAACTAAAAAAGTATCTTATTAAGTATCTTAAAAAGTAACTTAAGATAAGTATTTAAGTTCCTTTTTTTAAAGAGTAACTAGATACCCAAAGTAACTTCGGATACTTTTTCAAAAAGTAACTTATCTTGTATCTAGATACTTTTTAAAAGTATCTTTGACAGCTCTGTTTGCCTCACTTTGTATATTCAACTTTAAAATATTATGAACAATATTTATTGACAAATAAAATTGATTTTTATAAGAGCGATGATGAGTACCTGAGCAATTTACTGGGGTAATGACCCGAGCAAGGGTAAACCATGTAGACTTTTTACCCTAACTATTCGATGGGGGCAACAAAGTAGTGAGCAGAGCTGTCAGAAAAAAGTATCTTAGTTACTTTAGAGTAACTTAGTTACTTTAAAGTACCCAAGTTACTGTATCTTAGTTCCTTTATTTTTTTAACAAAAAGTATCTAGCATCTTAGATACTTAGGAACTGTATCTTGTAACTTAAAAAAAGTATCTTAGATATCGAAAAGTATCTTAGATACCAAAAAGTAACTTAGATACCAAAAAGTAACTTAGATACCAAAAAGTAACTTAGATACCAAAAAGTATCTAAGATACCACAAGAAAAGTTCCTTTAGTCAAGTTGTTCGAAACGGCCGCGGCCATCGAAGTTATTATAATAAGTATACTGGCGACTTCAGCGACTGGCGCCAATCGACTGGCGGCGATTTTTGTTATACCTACTTAATTTTTATTCACCTATACTTCTTTTATAATCTGAAATAAGTTAGCTTAGGTAAGTACTTGCACTTGCTTCTTTATGATGTACTGATGTAGGATATTGGTTGTTACATTGTACCGTACATTCTATAATGTTATGTATGTTTTCCATTTTAAATTTAAAAAAAAATGTTAAAAAAGAATAAATGAAAAGTGTAAGATAATTTTTTTATTTTTATAATTAAGTGGTGTTTAATTAACGATTTTATCTCTTTTTATTTTTAAGATATTTTAAAAGTGCCTAAGTTAGACACTTTTTGCATTAGACCCTTCAATGGTTTTAATCAACTAGATTTTATTGAAAAAAATTGTTAAAAAAGTAAGCTTATTTGAAAAATCACGGTGGGGTTGGAACGAATTTTTGTTGGGCGGTTTATACGAAACTTATTACATAATATACAAAGTAACTAAAAAAGTATCTTATTAAGTATCTTAAAAAGGAACTTAAGATAAGTATTTAAGTTCCTTTTTTTAAAGAGTAACTAGATACCCAAAGTAACTTCGGATACTTTTTTAAAAAGTAACTTATCTTGTATCTAGATACTTTTTAAAAGTATCTTTGACAGCTCTGGTAGTGAGAACATGATTTAGAGAGGAGGTGCTTGCGCAAAAACTTGGATATTAATTTAAGAGGACTTGGGAGAGAAAGGTATTTGGGTCCGCCAGCAGGCCAAAATATTATATAGCAGGGGAGCGGAAACCACAGTCTCTATAATAAGAAAAAGCGATCCCGCTGTCTGCATTATTGAATATTTTGGGATTCTTAATTTCTGGGCAGGTGGCTGTAAAAGGCAAGTAATTATTAGGTTTATTGTGTAACAGTGGTAGGAGATGATGTGAAACATATTATTTTTTATTATATTTTATTTATATACAAAACTTTTTTTGACCATGTGATTTTTTTTTCTGTGTGAAATGTGTGTTTTGCGTTTTTTTTTTTGAGTGCCAAATGAGTTATGACAACAGCTTGACAAGTGACAGACCTGAGTTAATCCCCGGCTGGGTCAAAACTTTTTTTAAATTTAAATCTACTAATTTGACTATTTCATTCAGAATTTGACTAATTATTAGTGACTGCTTTTTCGCTATGACAATTTGTCAAATATGACTAATTAGTTATTTTTGACTAATTCATTTTAAGAGAGTAGTGCACCTTTAGAAAAATGTTTTTTCGTCATTTGATACAGAAAAAGTGCCCTAATATTTTTGGTTACGTTTTAGGTCAAAATACCTATCTGTGCGTCGGCAAAACTTTGGAACGATATCGTGATTATTTTCCAGATGTAAGAAGTTTGAAATAAAAATTATTAAACAAATTTTTATGTTATTGTAACAAAATTAATTACAACAATATTTAAATTTTAAACATTCTAAATATTTAAAACGTTGATCGGAAACCTAACAAAAATAAAATATTAATTAATTTAATTACTAAGTAAAATTTGAAAAAGGGCAACTTTGGTGAAATGTTAAAAAAATATTAGTAATATTTCCCAACATCAAAACAAAACACAAAGTGCTTAAAGTACTTTTCGCCAACGATGATGGCATCTTCAGAAGCAAAGTGTAACTTAATCAATCTAGCTAACTACTAATTATATGCTAAGGTTGATTGAACCGTAAACGGACACACTTTACCAAACCGTGGACCTTAACCGATTCAGTGAATAAGTAAAGAGAAACTAACAGACTAATTTATACAAACCAGAGTTGGGTACCGGTCCGTTATCGCTATTTAAAGATTTATTCTATTCTTATAGATGTATAAACTTTCATAACTATCTAGCAGACTTGGTTCCCTAACTTCCTTAATAAGTTTAATGTTGTCAAATCCTATTCTATGACCATCATCAAGTATATATTGGGCAACACTCCATTTCTCTGTCCTACCAAATCTAGCATGGGCCAAGTGCTCTTTAAACCTTACTTGGATGAATCGTTTAGTTTGTCCAACATATTTCTTGTCACAATCTTGACAGTTTATTTCGTATTTCGTATTATCTTTGGGGTTGCCTAAAAGGGTCAAGATTGTGACAATAAATATGTTGGACAAACTAAACGATCCATCTAAGTAAGGTTTAAAGAGCACTTGGCCCATGCTAGATTTGGTAGGGCAGAAAAATTGAATGTAATGATGATTTGTGAGATTATGCAGGGAGTTAATATATGACAACCGAGTGCTCATTGTGTTTTATTTAGATACCTAGTAAAGTAGTGAATTATACAGTGGCGACGAGCTGTAAAACTAAGCATAACTACAACTGTATTAGGAATAAAGTTCTATAATTTCAAACCAAAAAATTAACTGAGTTAAAACCGATAATAAGCTCACTGAATATTCATACAAGAACGATTTAAGATAAAACCGAAAATGAGCTTACCAAATATTTCTTCAATGGAAAACTTTGATTGTGAAGGCGACGTATCATCAGTTGCTTCATGTTGGGAAAAGTGGAAAAGGGCTTTTAACATAGGTATACTTGGAAGCAGCAAGTATAGATGACCCATAAAAAAAGAGCGATTCTGTTACACACCGGTGGAATGGGGCTTCAGGAAATATACTACAATATTCCTGGTGCACACATTGAAGCTTCTTGACGAATACTTTACTTCTAGACAAAGTAAAGTTTTCAAAAAACATATTTTTAGACTGATAAAACAGAAACCGGAAGAAAAATTTGAAAAATTCCTTTTACGATTAAGGGAAAAAATGTGCGTTTCAAAATCTAGAGGATAATCTTATCGACCAAGTTGTCGAAAAAGGAAGTTACTTAAAGTTAAAAAAAATAGGTATGGGGGACAGCATGACTTTAGAGACCATAGTTAGTAAAGCAAATTCTTTGGAAGCTCTAGAAAGGCAACCCCGAGTTTGCCCAAGAGGTTCACTTATTACAACATAGACCGTCGACAAGCAGGGATGAAACGAATAGTTTTACTCCTTGTGGAAGTCAGGAACATTTTTCAAAACGCCTTAAGTATCCAGCCCTGAATCAGAAGTGCAGAAAATGTGGATTTAAGGGACATTTTTTGAAACAGTGCACACCGATTTGCTCATAGACTCCACCAAATGCAATCTTTTGACCTTAGAAGCCTGGCAACATCAGAAAATAAAAGTCTATAACCAAGAAAAAAATCCTGACAAAATATTTATAGCATATGCCTGTAAAGAACCCTTATAAAAGTTGGAAATCAATCCGTCACAGCTAAATTCTATGTAATAAAAGACGGCTGTAGAAACCTTCTTGGGAAGAGCTCTGCAATTACACTAAGTGTTTTAAAAATCGGCTTGCAGTCTATAAACAACACCACACTCGAATTTTAGAAGTTTAAAGGCGTAATGGTTGATATCCCAATTGATGTGACAATAAAGCCAGTCTGTCAACAATATAAAAGAGTACCTATTCCCTTAGAGGAATAGAGGAAAAAATAAACAAAAACTTAAAGACCTTAAGGAATTGGACATCATAGAGGAGGTGCCAGGCCCATCTTGGTGGGTATCTCCAATAGTGCCGGTATTAAAAGAAAACGAAGAAATCAGAATATGTCGATGGTTATTTGACAAAACATCGTAAGCGACAATTTTGTTGAATTACTTTTTATTTTATCAAAGTGTCAGTTACGAAGCTGCACATGTTAGCATAATAGTTATCCCAATTTTGAAATCCAATATTGGTCAGTTTGAATATTTTTATTATTGTAAGATTTATAACGTAAGCGCCTATATGTTCCCGACAAATAATCGTAAGCAACTCCGATACATCGTTTGCGATTTAATATTGTGTCGCTTACGATAATATTGTGCTCCCGCCTTGATCTATCAAGGCGTTATTCCCGCTCTAAACAGTTTATTCGTGACTCACGAATCGTGAGTATACCTGCATCGTGGTGATTGCTACCAAGTTTTAAAACAATATTTTATTTGATCAAAAGCTTATAATTCCTTTTTTTCATTGCATTATTAATAGTTATTCTAAATATAATTGTTTTTACGTAGTGTGGTTCGTTAAAAGTGTTTTTTTTTTGTAATAATTGTTGTTATATCGTCAAATAATTTTACTCAAATTTATAACCGTTAGATCATAGTACCATGGGTTAGATCATGGAGCCTACACAAGGAGTCCGAACATCATGTAAACAAGAATCTTCCTAAGATAAGAGGGCGCTGGTGTTCCGTTTATTCTGAAACAATTGTTTAATTTGTACCGAAACGCTAGCATCGACAATCAGCGCCGCTGGTGGTGAAAAAAAGAAACTTCATTTGTATAATGTAGAGGGCAGGTTTTGTCAATTTCCCCTATTAAGTTCGGGCTCCTTGTGTAGGCTCCATGGGTTAGATACTGGTTTGTGAATATAAATCGTTCGTTTTTTTTCAAAGAAAGCTAATGTAAAATTTAATTTTCAAACAGTTTGGCAAAATATCGTTGGTGATATTTTATAAATTAATTTTTGTATTTTTTTTTATTTAATAATAAAAGTAAAAAAATAAGTGTCGCCAACGATGTTTTGACAAAAGTAATCATCAAATCTATATCCCACAAAGTAACGTAAATGTAACTTAAGCGACAAGACTAATTTTAAATTTTCCTAAAGATGTTCTTATAAAATATCGTATGCCACAAAATTTAATGAAAATTTTAGATTGGATTCTATCTTACTTAAATACTTGAATTCTACATTAATAAAATAATGCCTCACCAGTTTTCAGATAAATAACTTTAAAAATAAAGCTCCCACACAAAAAAATCTCTCCTGTAAAATTTAGGTTTTGTCGCTTACGATGTTTTGTCAAATAACCATCGATGTGTGGATATGAGAAGTGCAAATACAGCTATAATACGCGAGAACCGCTCACTTCCAACTATGGACCAACTTTTACCAAAATTCAGAGATGCAAAAATGTCCCCAAGGCTAGATATAAGAAATGCACTCCATCAAATCGAAATTACACCTTCCTCTCGCTTTATTATAACTTTTATCAGCAGCAATATAGCTGATCCATTATCCAGACTCCCTAAGGCCGATTGTATGATAAAGCCGTTTGACGAAAATTCTATCTATCAAATAGTCAGCTATTCAAGACCTGATGCTGTTTCACTATCTGACATCAAAAGGCACCCAGAGATTATCAAGCTTAAAGAATGTTTACTTCGAGAAGTTTGGGACCAGCCGATTAACCAGTACAAAATATTTCTTTTAGAAATCTGTCTTTATGAAGGTATTTTGCTGAGAGGTGATAAAATTATATACCATCTCAACTGAGGCCCAACGTTATGAAAGCAGCTCATGAAGGACACCCAGGCATTGTAGCGATGAAGAAACGTTTACGCACGATAGTCTGGTGGCCAAAAATAGACGCCGACGCTGAAAAGATGGTCAAAGCTTGCAAAGGTTGCAAGCTGGTTTCGACACCCAATGCACCAAAACCTATGAAACGACGTAAACTACGCAGTAGCTATTGACTTCTTAGGCCCACTTCCGGAGAAATAAATATATATTGGTTATAACCAGTAGATTACTATAGCCGCTATAAGGAAATTAAAATTATGAAAGATATTTCGATACAGAGCACAGTAAACATAATCCAAGAAATTTGCTCCAGACTGGGTTATCCATCCTGCATTAATACAGATAACGTTAGATAATTCACAAGTACTGATTTTTAAAATTATTGTAAAGAATTAAATCACACAATACTTTACTGGCCGCAGCAAAATGGGAAAGTAGAACGAAAAAACCGCGAACTGTTAAAAAGGTACAACTCCATCCGAATTTTTTTTCTGGAGAGTTTTTAGAGACAAAATCCCTAATATTGAAGATTTGGAAAATAAAATGTTGGATGGCAAAGTGAGAGACAGAGATACAATTTTAAAAGAAAAAGGAAAAGAGTATGGAGATATGAAACGGAAGGCGGAAGAAACTCAGTTAGAACCAGGAGACAAGATTTATGAAAAAAACCTAATAAACAGCAGCAAGACTTGTCCCAACTTTAATCCAAGCCAGCACACAGTTTTAAGTCAGAAGAGAGGTGACATACAAGTCACGAATGGTGAAATAGGAAAAGATTATAATCGATAATTATAAAAAAGATTATAATCTATAATTATTATTATATGAATAAAAAATTACTGACCAACTAGGATTTAGATGTAATAACTTGGTTAAAATTAGTTTACTTTTATTATAATAAACTTGTTATGTATCACATATTAGCATTAGGTTATTAATGGACCCAATTGTAAAAATTAATTGTCTATTATTTGTAAAAAGAAAAGTCGATGTAGTATCCAGCAACATAAGGTGCTGTAACACCTATCAGGATAGGGTGAATCATTAGCTATTGAAGGTAATGATGATTTGTGAGATTATGCAGGGAGTTAATATTCCTGCTTAAAATACCCCATAGAGACCTATACAAAATAATCTATCGGGCGCTACCGGATTCAATATGTGCATTTGTCCATGCTTTTTCCAGATACCCCATAGATACCCTGTTCAAACCGATATATATTTGTATCGGAATGTATGGTGTTTCTATAGGGTCTATCGGTTTGTATATAGGACCCATAGTTGGGATTTATGGTTGTTCTATAGGGATATCCACCCTTGATTTATTTGCTATTGGTTTCAATGGGGAAAATACACAAATGTAGAAATTAGTCTTTCCCCCATAGGATCTCATAGGTTTTAATAAAATTTTGTCAAATGTTTTATGGTTGTTCTATAGGGATATCATTAATTGAGTTATTTGCTATCGGTCTCAATAGGGAAAATGTAAAAGTTATGGTGTGCCTATAGGTAATTTCCTATACATTTTCTATCGGGCCGTATCCGGAAAAAACCATGGACAAATGCACATATTGAGTCCGGTAGGGCCCGATAGATTATTTTATATAGGTCTCTATGGGGTATTTTAAGCAGGGCGGCCCGATAGAAAATTTATAGGGAATTACCTATACGCTATATGGTTCTATAGGGAATTGCCTCCTCACCCATACATGCCGATAGAGCCGTTTTAAACATTTTACAGGGATTTTCGGATAAAAATAACATGCTTCAATTGAGGGACCGTTTCTGGTTGGATGTCTTCCCTCGGGCTTTCTTGGTGCGGCTCAAGATCGTCGAAAGATGGGAAGTGCTCCGGGACTCCTTCGATGTTCGGTGGTTGGGGATGATGAAATTTTCTTGGTGTGGAAAATGTGTCTTTAAATGCCTTTCCGTCTCTCGTTACAGAAACTTCATTTCCATGTCTCTCAACAACTTCAAATTCTTCCAACTTATTCGCTGGTGTCACGTTTTGTAACAACACTCTATCTCCCTTTTGTATTTCTATTTCTTTTGCTCTTCTTATTGTGTCCTCCCTCAATTTTCCTTTTTCATTGTTTACTTTGTCCTGGTCTCTAGCTTCTTCGTCGCCTTCTTCAATTAACAAGTCGCTTCCTGATGGAATTTTGTCCCTTATGGTTTTGCCAAACATAAGTTGTGATGGAGGTTTACCTGTTGAGCTGTGGGGTGTCACATTATACATTAGGATGTATTTTTCTAGCTCTGATCTACCATCCACACCTTTGGCATAAGCGATTTGTAGTCTTTTCAGTAAAGACTTATTAAGGTTTTCAATTTCTCCATTGGCTTGGCGCCAATAAGGTGGGATCTGTACCAGTTTTATATTATTGTTTGTGCAGAAGTCTTTAAATTCTTGACTGACAAACTGCCTGCCATTGTCAGCTCAAATACTTTTTGGATACCCCAAACGACAATACAATTCGGTTAAATGTCGAATAATAATTGCTGATGTAGTCGATTTTAGGAATTTGATTTCATGGTATCTTGAGTAGTAGTCGATCACCGCAAGTATCATATCTTTGTTTGTAAGGGGCCCATTAAGTCAATAGCCAAAGCC